CCCCCCCAGTCTGCCTGGGGCTCGGTTTCTGTGCTGGGAACGCGCGGGTCTGGCCCTTTCTTGTTGAGTCGGTGTTGTGCCGGGAGGTTTCTGGTCTCCTGCGGCTCGCCGGTGTTTCACAGGGCAGCGGCCGAGTCGGGCAGCTCGGGAGGCCCCTGCTTTGTCACGGGGGGGTTCACCGTGACAGCTGAGCCCAGCCTGCCCGGCAGTGCTGGCCGTGGGCTTCTGTCCCAAAATCATTGCGGTGGAAAGCGTATCGTTCCCATAAACCTTCAGTTAACTCTGTCAAGCACTGAAATAATGCCGTGGGATGGCAGGCTGAAGATACGTTGAGAGGAAAATCTTTGCATTTCTTACGGCTACCGGGTTACAACTCCTGAAGCAGAAAGCAATCAGGAAAAAAGACTGCTTAAGACATCTGGCTGTTTAATATCCTGTGGAACCTGGAACGTGTTTATTTTGTTGTAATTGCATTGAAGGTTGCTTCCCATTCAAATGTATTGTTGGCTAGCACACACACATTCATGAAATTGGGGATCAAAATATGTGGAAAAACTTCTAAAGAAATAATTACTGACCTAAGTTGTAGGTGGAAAATTGAAATGGTCTAATAAGACATATTTTTTAGGCAAACCCAGGAGTTAAAGCTTTCTACATGAAAACAGGAAGATAAAGGCTACTGTTGTACATACAACAAAGGTTATATAAGAGCAGATGGGTGATGGGGGAGTATTTACTCTCCTTTTCTAGAGTGCATCTCTCCTCCATATACTGTTTCTTGTAGTTATTCAACCCTTTATTAAGACAGTTTTTGTTTGTTTCACAAGTTAAACTTAAATTTTTTCTCAGTAATATTTTTGCTAGTCTGGTGAGTTGAACTGGTTTGCAGGGGTGTTGGACAAGCACCATAGCTAGTGTGTGTGAAGTGGTATGTGCATGTCAGGGAGTAAGAACAGGAGGAGCAATACCTTCCTACGTCAAGAGCAGTGAACAGTTAGAGCAGATCATTCCACCTTGTGTGTTAGATTATCTGTTGGCTGTTAGAAGAATTAAAAATCAGTATCATTCTCTGTGGATGCTTCTTTGCATACAAATAGGTTTGTTAAGGTCCAATGAAAGAAAATATTTAATGAATCAGGACTTAAATACTGCTAGTAAGAAGTCAGGAAATTATTTCGGATTTAACAGTATGCCGCCATATTTCTCTCAGCATTTGTACACCCTGTAGTTTGTTCTTTGTTTCCCTTCCCTTGTCTTCCACTTGAAAATAATCCAGCATTCAAAAATAATCAGGAGTTTTGTTGAAATGAGTGAATTTTTCTATGCTGAGTAAGACAGAAAACCTCTGCTTCATAAAGACAAACTCAGGTGGTATCATCTCTTACCTGCAATAGTTTGTGTTACTCCAAGCTACTTAAACTAACAGCACTCTGCAGGAAGTTTGCTAGTAGTTCTGAGGTGGAGGCTATGTTGTTTTGTTGGGAGAAGCCCTCTTCCCAGGGAACAAGGCTTATAACATGACTGTGCTCCTTTGCTGCTGGGTGGAAGTGGAGAGAGGGTTACTCACAGTGCCCAAGAAACACAGCTGTCTTGGCCAAATGCCCCATGTAGGTCTCACCTTTCCTGAGTTAAGGTGATTCCTGTCTTCCCTCCTAGACCATTTCTGTGGGACTCTGTCTTGCAGGATCTGAAAGATGCTGCATGTCTCTGTTTCCTTTAGTGGGAATAAAAAATGCCAAATATTCACCCAGCTGTGGAAAGCAGCTCAGGTGCTGAGGTTTTAGAAAACCTGTAGCTAAATTTTGATTGATGTCTTGTAGCAAAGGAAGTTGTGCAGAAGGGTTTGAAAGCTCTTCTGTTGATGGTGGTTTTTACAGAGAAGGAAAAGGGACTGCTGCCTAGGCCTTCAGTTTTTATTTTTCCTTTTTTTTAAGTTGATTTTGCAAAGCTCTAAATTATTGTTAGTGGTTATAATCTTGTAGCTATCCCAGCAGGATTTGTAATTATAAACAAATAGCATTTATTCATTGTTTTTCCCCTGACTTTTCTTATTTGTAATTGCTCTTAGCATTCATTTGATATAAGGGAAGGTAGTTTTGCAACCAGAATGTATATTTTTCTATGTTTTTCATAAATTCCATGTATATTTTCATACACGATTTTTGCTTGACACTTAAATTGTAGCAGTCTGATGAAGCAGGCTTCTGGTTGCAAGCCTACAGTAAGGAACTGATGCGTGAGGTTGCGGGAGGGTTGGGGAGGAGGAGAGAGGGAAAGATTAGAGGGGAGTTCCAGGTTTCCACAAGATTATAATCACAAATGAGTGAAGAGTGAAGACAGATAGAAAACAAGTGAAAAGGTCATGCAGAAAAGGTAGTACCAAAGTACAGACGCTTTGCTGTACAGAATGGTGTAGGTAGTATTTGTTTGAATCATCTTTGTGCGGCTTTATTTTCAGACACATTATTTCAAAGCTTTGGTGGAAGGCAAGTAACGTCTGAAATCTTCTATTGATTTGTGCTTTCTCTGTTTGCAGGCTGAGGTGGAAGAAACACTGAAGCGAATTCAGAGCCAAAAAGGAGTGCAGGGAATCATTGTTGTTAATTCTGAAGGTACTGTGTCAGTCTCGGTTTTCTGAGATATAACTTATTCTAAACATGCACTTTAAGGACCGCTGATTGTACTACTTGCATTTAGATTACAGTCTGTCTTTAGCAAAGGTTTTCCTGTCGCCAAAGCAGATGGACAATAGTTAGGCAATAAGAGAAAATTGGGTTCCTATTTCTGCTGTTCTGCAAGCTCACTTTATTATTTTAGGAAATAAATCAAAATAAATTGCAAAAGCTTAGAAATATTTGAGTTATGCCAGTGTTTGAGCCTGTGTTCTGTCAAAGCCTTTATGCAGCAGCTGATGTCCTCTATAATCAACACTAATCCCAGCCCAGCTTACTTGAATATTGTTTAACTGTGATGTTCAGGAGCCTTTCTGAAAGGAAAAGCTGTCCCCAGTCAGGAGAACAAGATTGAAACATTGGTATTTCCTGTCTCCCCACAGATATTTATTTTTGTTACTATTTATCTCATAAAAAAAACCCCACAAATAAAGGGAAAGGAAAAGCACTGATGCTACTAGAGGTAAACAGTTCTTCTCACCTACACCTGTGGTTCCAGATCTTAGCCTTTCCACATCTTATTTCTGTTCATGTTCTTCTAAGCCTTTAAAAAGAACACTCCTAATGCCTGGTGTAGTGACAACATCTGCTTAGGTTAAATAGCCACCCCAGCTGGACCTAATGATGCCCAAGGCAGGGTTAGTTCTGGAGTTATGTCACTGACCCTTGCTGTCCCCTGTTTCTTGCAGGTATTCCTATCAAAAGTACTATGGACAACTCTACAACGATTCAGTATGCGGGCCTCATGCACAGCTTCATCATGAAGGCAAGGAGCACTGTGCGAGACATTGATCCCCAGAATGACCTCACATTCCTGCGGATCCGCTCCAAGAAAAATGAAATCATGGTTGCACCAGGTAAAAGTGAGTGGTGTGAAAGCAGGCATCAGCAAATCCAGCAGAATTCTTTTCTCATGAGATTGACACTGTGTCAGCCTGAGAGAAGAGTTCTGCCGGCTGCTTTTTTTCATATTGTATAATCTCTTATTTTCCAAGAAGCTGTTTTGCTTTCATCAGAGTTGAAAGCTTTTGTCACTGACCTAAGTTTGCTTTTTCATGTTTGAATGTGGGAAGTCACTTTCTTCATTTCATGTTGATCAAAGTAGAAAGTGTTAAATAGTGTTCGAGACCGTGTTGCAACCTCTCATGTTTTGTGTTTTTCAGTATAAAACCGCAAGAGTTGGAAAGGAATATGTTTTGAGAGCAATTTCAGTTCAGAACTGTAGACTAAGTGATAAAGCAAAACAGTCTAACAGATTTTCCAGTTCAGAGAAAAGTAATAGAGCATATTGTAGCTGTAATCATGAGTCATAGCATATAGCAGCAGCAACCTTCTTTTCAGGACACATCTTCAGTATTTCAGCAAATTATGAAACAGGAAGCAATGGGATGGGTACAGTTCACTAATGTGGCAGGAACTCAGCTTTGTGCCTTCATACTGCATTGGCTCCATGGTGGGATTGTGCTGATGGAGAGGCTGCAGTAGACTGCTCTGCAAGGACTGGTCAAGGCACATCTTAAGACAGGCTCTGGGGTTTATGCTGAGGCACTCTCTAATTTCCATATGAAGGATGAAAAGAGAGGAGTAAGCATTGCTCCAGAAAAAATACAGCTGCAGCCCAGCAGTCTGCCTGTGAGATAAGGGAAATCACTGTCTTGTACCACCTATTTTGATTCCATCATTGCATGTGCCAGTTACTATTATTTCCTAGGCACAAGCTGGATTAAATTCAATTGGCTTGGGAGCATGCAGTTTCTAAAGCTGAAACTTACTTTTTCTTACTTTTTTTTCTTACTTTTTCTCAGTAAGACTCATAAAAATTATAAGTGATCTGACATGCCAAGCCTCTTTTGCTCATTGAGAATGAATGTCAGAACTCTAGTTCCCACAGTGTATCAGTGAGATATGAAAAAATGCTGAAATTTATTGTTGCTGTGAACAAACACCAGCAATGAAAGAATAATTTCTTTTTTTTTTCCTCCAGATAAAGACTACTTCCTGATTGTCATCCAGAACCCAACTGAATGATTACGCTGACTTGGTCTGGGGTTTTTTTCCCTTTGCCCAACTGTTTGGTTTTTTTAATTTAATGGTAAAGAATAGAGCATTAGTGTTATTTCTGTTGTGCCACTTCAATAATGTCTGGAAAAACAAAACCAGGTGGTTTTGTTGTTTACAAACAGAAAAAGTGGCGCTTTTTTTTTTTTTTATCACAAGTCGTTTCGAGGAGGAGTTGGTGAATTAGAATCAGGCAGTAAAAAATCCAACAGATTCTTTTAATAGTTAAGAAGGTAATATAATAAAATTCTAATAATGTTCTAAAAAAGATTATTCTTTGTATGTTTCCATGCTTCTGTCACCACTATCTGAGATATGCTTTTACACTACTGCTTTTCAATGACTGTAAATATGAAACTTGCCTATCCTCTAGTTGTGTCTTACTCTGTTGGTTTTACAAGTTACTTTGAAAAAGTCTGACCATATCAAATTAAAAAGTGTCATCAGTGACTGTTTTTGTCTTATGTGTTTTCCTTCTGAAGATTTTAATTATTCTCATGATTGATTTTTTTTCTTCAAAAAACAGAACCATCCTAGGACTATTTTTACTCTTCTGTTGCTTTCTCTAAACAAGATTTAGTCTAAGTGCATGTGCAATGTACTTATAATTGCCTCCTATGTTAGAGCATTTTCCTACCACTTCTTCAGACAGAGAAGTGCTGTGGCTAAGTAAGGCCATCAAGACTGCCTGTTGGAGCTCTCGTACTATCACAGTTCAGCAGCCAATTTGATCTGGTATCCTCCTTTAGTAATTTTTTATTGATGGCTGTTAAGGACAAAAAAGGTCATCTGGTTCCTCCAAAATAATAAAGGGGTTATTTTTGTAGTCTTGGAAGAGCCTTTTAATTGCATGCGGAGCTCAAGAATTTGTGCAGACTGTCTGCATTGAAGATGTTTGTGACGTGTGTGACAGACACAACTCTGGCTTGTACTGAAGAGTCTTAGTGATGTGCAGAATGCCATAGCCCAGATTCAGAAATGATGCATATTGGCTTGCACTGCATTTTCGTTGCATACTCAGGTAGCTCAATACAGCTAACTGCTACAGCACGGAGCGATGTTCAGAGAGCCTGGTTCCTTCCCCAATCTCATTTGTCCCACAGAGAAGGGGGGTCTTGCAGGTAGTGTAGCTGCCTGCTTGTGCTTCAGCCTCTTCACATGTCTGGCCTCAGACTGCTTGTGATAGAAGTGTTTTACCAGCCTGAAAAGGAATTTCTCCCAGTGTGCACCTGAGCAAAGAGGCACAGCCTACAGGCATGAAACATAGTGTGCAATTAAAGAAAGAACTTTGATTGAATACCTGTAGTTTTATTAGGGGATGCTGTTTCTTGTGCTGGTGAGGGATCACTCCTGACTCATGTATCTCTGCTAGCAGAAGAGAATAACCCATGTTTAGCCCTGCTCTTTCAAAATTACATGGAGTAGTAGGAACACGTGCTACCTGTCCAGTTCTATACCGAGGAACGGACTAAGAGTTTTTGGATAATCTCAGCAGGTTAGGAGGTATTTCAGGCAATTGGCCGCAGTGCAGTTTTGGAGTCTTTAGTAAAAATGTCGGTGCTGACTTGGATGCTTTTCTGGATTTCAGAGCACAAAGTGATGGGATGGATATGTGGTGACTCAAACAGCTAAGATAAACTGTATGCTCAGCATTTGTTTTCTGCGCATGTTCAGACTTGGGCATTAATTTATAGACTGTGTCTAATTTTTTAGGTAGTGTTTATGACCATGAAGTTCAGAAATGCTTTTTGAGATCTGTGCTCAGTCCTGCAGCATCTGGGTGAGGGTGCTTTGCAGTATTTTGGGTATCTCAGCTGTCAACGTGACTCAGTGTTGGCTGTTACTTAGTTTATGAACTGTTTCTCCCATCAGCATATGTCTGACTACACTAAGCTGGTGTAGCCCTGGGATCGCATTTTGTGCCAAGAAGTGACTGATGTAAACATCCATCTCCTAGTTGTAGAAAACTGACAGGTAACTCACATAGCATGTATTCACTGGCCCTTTTATTACTGAATCTTGGTTTAAGCCACACCATCAAACCAATGAATAGGGTCTGAAATCATGCTCTGTGTTTGGAGTAGTTCCTGATACACAGCAGCTTATATAATGCATGTGATCTGTCATAATTTAATTGAGTGCTGTCTCCAAAAAAATGATCTCCAGCAAGCTGAAGTCTCTGGATAATCGCTGAATAGTGAAGCGAGGCAGAAGAAAAATGTGACTTCGGTTATTTCTTCTATCTTTTGTTGTTCATAGGCAGAGAAATCGTTTCCTTGGAAGTGGTGACCTGCTTACATATTTTGGCTTTCCCTAGTAGGTGTCAGTGTTACTCTTTTGAACAGTGTAGGATTTCTTTAGTGTACAGCATTCTTTTGGACACTTCCTTTAGGATAGGTATTCTACCAGTGGTTTTGTGTCATATCTGACTTTGGGACAGAGAATGTTGAGGTGTTTTTTTCTTTAAACAAGCTGTAATAAACAACCCTGTTGCAAAACAAAGATCATGCCCATTTTCTGCATTGTGTTGAGACCATAAATGTGCAGTGAAATGACTGAGTTCCTGCTATATGCTGATTGTTTGGGGGTTTGGAGGGGGGTTGGGGGTTGATTCGG